GCATTCTTCCTAGATATTCGGCGGACAATGGAGCCCTTAAGTTCTCTCACTCTCCTTTTTTCGGCCCCTTTCCGCACCCTTTGTTCCCTTCCCGAAAACAGACCAGACACGCGTGCACAAAAGGAAGAGAGCCGAACAATGAGATTCGGCGACGATGACCTCGGGAGATGGGCGAAATGGCCGAAATAGTCCGCGACTTACTTATTTAAACGCGCGATCCGCAAGTATTATAACCAGGGCTGGCAAGTAACTCGTTACTTGTAACGGAGTTACAGTTACACAGTTACTTTTTTTTTCGGTAACTCGTAACTCAACTTCGTTACTTTCTTTCCATTCTGTAACTTAACTCGGAGTTATACTTTCTCGATAACTAGTAACTAATTTAATAGTTACATTAATAGTCACCTTATATATTTTTCAAACCTCCACAGATTGCACTAGGCCCTGCGCTACATCGATGCGTAAAGCACCTTCATCGGCGCTCCACAATTCAAATGCAAATTTGACATTTTTATTCCCATTGCAAGAAAGTAACTGCCAATTCGCTACCTTTTAAATAACTGTAACTGCGACGCGTTACTCGTCAGAATTGGCAACTTGTAACCGTAACTAGTTACATTTTTAGCGAAAACACTGTAACTATAGATACCTTTACAGAGTAATCTTTCCCAACCCTGATTATAACGTCGTGGCGGCCGCGACTCCTCGACGATCGCGAAAGAGTCCGATTTCCAATTGCGACCAGGAGGGGGCGAAATATAAAATCGCATAAACATTGTCCGCCAAGCAAATTCCGTCAATACGCAATTATTTGAAGAATACGATAAATATTTAAAAATTACATGACTCCAACTTTCGCGCGTCATAATTGCCCCGCGCATAAATAACAAACAACGTATACAAATAAATGATTAATCGATCAATTAACTCGGCGAATATTTTCATTGACGCGCCCCCGCGAAAGAGAGCGTCGACGTGAAGCTCCGTAGGAAGCCGCACGTGTTACGTATTTCGGCACGATAATCTTCCGAGATTGCGCTTTACCTTGTCGATACATTCTGATGCGGGCCGCAGCTGCTCTCTCGGGAGATCGCGGCATATGCTGCAACGATCGGCGGCTCGGCTCGGCTCGGCTCTTCCCGATTACCCACGTGTTACGTGGACGCGAAGGATGGACATCTGGCCCATACGGAGCACTTAACAAACGGATTGTCCACTCTCGGTCCCCCCCGCCTTTCGTCGCTTCCACGACGTCGGTCGGTCACGCGATTCCCGAGAATGGCGAAAAATCTACGAAACGGCAGCCTCCTTCGCGAGAGCGATTCTTGCGATTTAGCCTCGTGAAATCTGGGCCACCGTCGCTCGTGCCGCCGGCCTCGGCGAAGGACGAACGGAAGGAATCGCGTGTGGAAAGGCCAAGCCTGTCTATTTCCAGCCGGAGTAAGATTAACTTGGAGTACCGTGTGTTTATTAAATCAGGAGATGACTGAATGGCACGGAATAGCGCGTTAACAAACGGATCGAGCTGAAAATTGGAGCATAATAACTCGAACGCGATTGATCGCTCGCGAGGCGCGATTAACCGCCCGCGAGCGAGCTCTCTCTCTCTCATCGGGCCAAGCATCGGCCCGGCGAAGGGAACATTGACCTTCGTCGCGGTCGTCCACGGGGCGGCACAGGGAAATATACGCGGACGGAAATACGCGAGGAGCCGTTCAACCAGGCGGGGACCGAGATTCACGGCTGAATCGGCCGCAAATTGCGGTGAAAAAGGCGCGAGTTGGCCGTGTAACTTTCTTCCTCCTCCGCGATTTTTGTTTTCATTTGATTACCCTCGAGCCCGCGAGCCCTTCGCTTCGCCCTTCCAGCCGCCGCGAGAGGGTGCGAAACGGATAGCAGTGACGGCGGTTACCGAACGAAACAGCAGAGGGAAGAAGGGAGGGAGGGGGGGAGAGGAGGGGCTGTTTCGCGCAACTTTCGCGAAATAACTTTGCGGCGAGTTCTCTCCGCCGCGAGAGATCCCCGTTATTTTCTCGAGGTGGGGAATCGATAGGGCCACCTACATACGCCGGACGTGCGGCAGCGGCAGCGGCGATGGTCGTCGACACGCTGGGTTGGGTTAGGTTGGGTTAAGCCCGAGCGCTTAGCCCGATAGCACCGGCGGGCCGGCCGTGATGCGCTAGGGTGTTTACATCGCGGAAGGCCACCGCACAAGCGGACGAGCGCCTAGGTGCCATGACCTAGGACGAAAAAGGAAGCGTCTAGGAGAGATCGTTTCTCACCGCCCCTCCCCCTCCACCCCACCCCCCCTGTCCCCACGCGTCTCCCCCGCCGTTGCCGCCTCTCGCTCGTTTCCTCATCAACGTCGAGGGATTACTTTCTCATTTAGATTTTATCTCGCGTCTACCCACTGCCGCCCTCATCGCCGCCCGTCGCCTCGACGCGATCTTCCGCTTCTCTTTCAGCTTGTCTCTTATGTTCGCCTCCAACGACCATTTCTCGATTCCTTCTCTCGGCCAGGCTCCTTTGTTTTTACTAATTACCCAGGACGTCAGCCATCGACCTCTTCCCGCAACTCTCTCTCTCTCTCTCTCTCCCCCCCCGTCTCTCTTTCCACACCCGCTCGCCATCACGATTCCTCCACCGATCATTAGGCGACTAGCCAAGAGGGTGTCCAACGAATCGCCGTCCCTCCGACGTTCTCGATCCTCTCTCGGGCTTTCGTCCCGCTTATGGATAGGTGAATCGATATCCCGTGACGAGGCAAACGTTGACGGCGAGCGTCGTTTAAATTAGATCAACCGGTTTCTCATTGGTTTTTTTTTCTGGTGATATATTAAACTCGATTAAAATTGATCCCGATAGCGTCGTGAAGTCGAGCGGTTCCGGTCGACAGACTCCTTTTCCTTTCTTCGACACCGGGAAACTTATCGAAATGATCCGCGCGAAAAAAGGGCGATACGTCGACAAATCGGGAATCTGGCCCGTACAACGTCCAAGGGTCGTACCCAACAATCGCGGTTGATGCCGCGCTGGCTGCAGCTGCCGCGGCAAAAAATGAGCCGCGATTGTTTTATCGCCCCTCGGTCCGCCCGATGGTCAACCGGTCCTTTCTCCTCTCATTATTATGATTACCCGATGAGCGATGGGACGGGTACGACGAGGGGCGGGAAAGGGGATGAAAAAAAAAACGGAATTCATCCCCTTGTCCGGGGAGTCAGCCGGTCCTATCTGCCAGCCTACCTGGGCTCACCGTCGGCCCTTGTCCTTCTTTGTATCCCGATGAAGTGCATAGCGTACGCGCCGGCGATATAGAGGCGACGAAATCCAATTTTTTCCCTTTTATCGACCCCTCCTCGGGCCTACCCCTGTCTCGAAAGAGAAGTAGCCCATGCGATGCGCCACATGCCGTCGTCGTTGGCCGTTCGCGTATATGCAAATTTCGTCGGCGCATTGTCTGCGAGCTGCCCCTTGCTCACCCCCTCTCGCCGCGCCGTCCACAAAAGATCCAGGTCAAACTTTCATCCGGTTAGGAATTTTTATTTTTCGATCGAGCGAAACGACAAAGCGGGTCGCCCCGTACCGAGGAAAGGGGGATGGGACGGGGAGGAGGAAAGCAAGACGGTGCGCGACCGGTGCACCTTTCGTAGCGCGTAACGGTCGATCGTAGTGTCGCCCTAAGACAATCGATACAATTACGAGGAGCCGCCGGAGACGTAGGTAGGGAGACGTAAGGATCGTCTGCGAGGTCCCTCTTTTTCAACCGTGGCCACCCTTCCTTGCCGCGGTTCCCTCCCTTTGGGCTGCGTCTTCCTGCGGAAGAGGCGCTCGTCGTGGTTCGTGTCGCGGAGATGAAAAAGAGAGGCGAGAGCATTGAGCAAACGCTCCGACGACAACTCGAAATTCGCAGCGAAGCTACACAAGTCCCTTTTGCTCCCCGCAATTAGTCGCGACACTCTTTTCGTTTATACGCGCTTCTCATCGCTGCGCGTATTTTTATATTTTATTATTACTCTCGTATTAAAATGTTGACATGTAATTTTCGTTGATAAAATCGGAAAACACAATTTTCCATTTTACGTTATTGAATATTTTGTTTGCGGACGCAAAAGTTTCGCCGGCAGAAAATACAGTCGCGGCAAGAGCGAATTGAAAACGCCCGGCCCCAGCCCCACGGAACAGATCGATCCCGAGTCCCCGCATCATATGCAACGAAATCATACCTCGACGCGTAGTCTGCAGGTCGTAATAAGATCCAGCCTCTCTATCGACGAAAGGCTCGCGCTAGGGAATGCCGCTGGAGAATTTCCAGAGGCGAGGCACGCCGACCTGGGGGCGGCCGAGCAACCCCCGTGGAAGCGCGATGGAGCGAGCTGCGGTCAGCGCTAGGATTCGAAATACGATGGTGTACGTACCCGGTTACGTCGCGTACGCAATGCCGTTGTGTTAACCTTATTGTCACGGTGGTACCGAAGCATGTAAAGCCGCACGAACGCCTCCAAATTGTTATTGCATGCAAGAGACGGAGACGGAGCGAACCGATCGACGTGCCAGGCGGGTCGGGCTTCTCCTGCGGAGATTAAAAGCCGCCCGCTTTTGACTCGAGTATCCGAATAGTTTATTTGACGAAAATCTCGTCATCGCTCGAGACGAATCGTCAGTGGCTCTCGCAAACGTTTCAATCCTAACGACGAAAAGAAATGGTTGCGCAAGTTTTCTAATGGTTTCTAATGAAAAAAAAAATAACGCGACCTGAATACACGTAAAATTTTCCGTACTATTAAAGATGCCAGGTGTGGTCGAGGAAACACCGACGTTCTGGATACACGTAGCTGCGTGCTGGAAAAATTCAATTGTGAATTTGGGATTGCTGAAAATGAAGAATGAAGAAAAGGGGGTGCACACGACGGTACTTTGCAACGCTATCTTCTCGCCCATCTCCCCGCCGTAAAGTGCCACCGGGGGTGTGCTGTGGTCAGTGCCACGATTCGAAATACACGATGAACGTGAACTCCATTCTGGCGTGTACGCAACAACGGCGTGCTAACCTTACTGTCACGGCAGGGCCAAAGGGATGTAAAGCCACGATAACGCCTCCAAATCGTTATTGGGTAGCGACAGAGAGGCCACCCCTCATCGTTTACCAGCCGTTCTATGGCCCCTGGGATGGAGTGTTGGAGATACTGCGAAGGCTTGCTACTTTAACTATCGTTAAATCGCGTAAAACCTGTAATTGAATACTCGAGCACGATCGTTAAGCCGCTCCTTACGGCGTGCCGTCGCGCTGGTTCCTTCTTGCCGGATGTCTACTGGTAACGATCTGTGGACGCGAATTAAGTAGCCTTGAAAGTATACGCATCGAAAATATCGATCTTACGAATGCCCAAGTTGGGCGCTGACTGCTCGGGTTAACTCGCGTCTAAAACTTGAGAAGACGTCTTCCCCTTTAATAATAAGAAGTTTCTACAGCGGATTATCATCAACCTACCACGGATATTTATCGCGAGTAATTATCAAGAATTCAGATTGTTTGCCGAGTTAAAAAATAACTTTAATTAGCAACGAAACAGTCGCGATTAATCCGCTCTATCGCGGGTCCCCTGGCGAGTTTACAGGGCCTCGTTATATCCTCGAGAGAAAAGTACCTTCCCCGGCCTACGAGCCTATTAGACGCGACAGAGGAACGAGCTAGAGGAGAGAAAGAGACGAGGGGACGGCCGAGGGAAAAATTAGGCGGTAATTTCCGCGCCTAATTCCCGCAACTAAACGATCCAAATCGCATTCGCACCCTCGTGCCGAGGTGGCAAGTATCAACGCGATCGTTTTCGTAGCTGTCGGCGCCGCTGGCCATGAAAACTTATCCGGATTCGAGAGAGGAACGGCGTTGGCCGGTTACCGTCATTACAAACGGTCTGCGCGACGTACATGGCGTCATCCACCTGACGCCTCGGTGCGCCTAGCCGCGCAGCGCCGCGCGCGCGCCGGGCTGGGCACGGCCGCGCGCAGAGCGCAGAGCGCACGAACGCACACAGGCTACGTGGAGCGCAGCGCATCGCACACAGCGCACATCGTCCCGCTGGGCGCGGGCGGGGTGGCGCGAGGAAGACGGCGAAAGAGGAAAGCGCGCGTCCGAGTAACCGAGCGAACGCCGGTTCGTGGTCCGCGCGGGCGGAAAGAGAAAGCGAGACGAAGCACGGCCGTGCGAGAGTAGCGACAGGGAAGGCGAAAGAGAGGAGAGAGAGAGCGAGAGGACAAACGGGAGCGGGTGGATGGACGGACGGACGGACGGACGGACGGACGAACGGACGGATGGACGGGCGTGCGGGCGAATGTGCGAGAGCGCGAACGGTGGCGGCAGGGAAGCGGTGAGGGAGCGAGATGGAGCGCGGGTGGAGGGCCAGCGCGCGTCCGAGAGAGGGTTGGTGGCTCGCTTCGGCACGGTTTAGGCGGCGGGCGGCGTGTGGTGCAATAGAGGCGGCGAGGAGGTGAGGTGGGGGTGCCCGGCACGGGGCCACGGCGCAGTTGCTACTCAGACACGGGGATGCTCGCAATGCCTCTATCAAAGGTTACCGAAATCCTGCGGAAATATCCGCGTAAACGCGGCGGGCCGTGCCGTGGCGATTCGTCGGGAACGCGTGTCGCGATCGCGGAGGTGCTCGTACGCGAGAAACCGGACGATTACGCGAAAGACCTCGCGCCGCGCGTCTAAGTCCGCGTGTACGCGAGAGAAAGGAGGGACCGGGAACGGCTTGGGGGGCGGCTTCTCGCGGGGCTTCCCCCGAGGAGTACGTTGTACGCTCGCGGGAACGTAAGGAGCGGCCTGCAAAAGGGAGAAAGAGAGGAAGACGGGAGATCGGCGAGAGAAAGAGCGCCGAGGTAGAAGGAGGTGGAGAAGCCAGAGCGGACTCCGAAGGGTCCTTTCTCAACCCAAGATCGCCACCCCGCGACGTGCCAGCAGACACTGCCGACTCGCGAGGAGCACGTGGGGGAGAAAAGTCCGGGAAAGCACGAGGATGGAGAGAGCGCGGCGAGATAGAAAGAGGGAGAGGGAGAAAGGACGTGAGACAGGGAGCTTACGAGGGTGCGAGGAGGACGGAGTCAGCGTCCCGACGCGTCTTACCACGACGCGCAAGGAGCGACGCCGCGCGCCTCTCTAGAAGGGGAAAGAGAGAAGGTGGAGGGGGCGGGCGAGAACGTCGCGGCGGGGGTGGCAAAGACGCTCATTCGTTCCTCGAGTCACGTGGCCCCCTTCTTATACCGAAGGTTTTTCCTTTTGTCGCGCGGGAGATTCAAATGGCCTTTGACCGACGCCGATGTGGACTCGGGGGATGCCTCGGGAGTGGGTACAGCTATCGATGATGCCAGACCCGCCGGGTAATCTGCATGGATTAAGTATTCCTTTCATTTTTATCGCATTTTTATTTCGATATCTAAGACAGCGCCTGACTTGGAATTTTATTTCGGCCAGTAGCGTAAGGGCGGGAGGGGTGGCACCGAGCAACCCCCTTTCGAGTTTTCAAAAATTAAACATTGCTTTTTCGAATTTCTTTTACAAATTCAAATCTATACTTCGGGTTTTTATTTCTTTTTTTTTGCACTTTTTGTTTACTGATGTTTAACTTGGAGTCGGTAACTGACTTGACTTCGAATCGGCAAAATTAAATCGCTCTCGGAAACGCGATTCGCGTTCAACGACTTGAAGTCTGCCATGATCGATATACCCTATCGTCGCTCGTACACCTTCTCGGTCCCTCCGCAAACGAGATTCGAGATTCCGATTCTACCGTAACCGTACATCGCTCTAGGAAAACAATGAACATAAGAAACTCGCGTTAAGAGACGAGGCAACCGGTGGATCCGCTCGCGGTGAATCACCGCGAACAGGACCCACCGTCGATCGCGAAGTCGTCCGGCGAATCGATCGTAACGAGAACGTACGGGGGACCCGTCGACCCCCCCTTCTTTTCTGTTTCAGACGCGTCGCACTGTGTTGTTATGTGTGTTGTCATAATTATTTCATTGAAAAATTAATTTCGCCGTTCCGAAACACTCACCGATTTCTGTCTGTGAAACACAACGTCTGAACAACTCCTCTTAAGTTTTGCCGAAAGGACTTAAATAATTTAGAGAAGCTAAAACACACTTTCGAGCGATCCTGATTTCGAAATTACGACGATTACGAAGACGACGATTAAGAAGAAAAAGGAGAAAATACAGAAAATCAAGAAAAATACGCGGAAAAAGCACCAAAAAAAGAGAGAAGAAACGAAATTGAAACAAAAGCATTGCCTTAAGAAGAAGAGTACACCTACACTGTCGAAGGAACAAACGAGAGACACAGGGGGGAAAGAAACAAACAAAAAAAGATAACACTTTAGACGCCTACAAAGTAAATTGTAAAGATATGACTAAAGTATATTTTTAACAAGTTTTGAGAAACTTTAGATTTTAAACGTAAATTTAAAAGCGAAAAATGAAAAAAAACGATAAAATTCTTAATAACTAAAAATGTGATCTAAAAGTCGTTGCTACCAAGAGAAGCCTTATGTCCTTGTTTCAGTTAGTTCGGTTCCAAACGTAAGTACCCCGCCAACTTACTGAAACTTTGCATGTCGCATGCCTGTACACGTTTTTCTCCGCCCGTTTCACAGCGACGCGAGGGATCTTCGTTCCGAAGGTACCGCCATGTCCGCGCTCCGAAAGGAGCGGGGGAGTCCCCTCGAGCGGATCCTCTCTTCCGCGGATCGCGTCGGTCGCGCGATCCGCCGAGGGCGAACGAAGGGGGCGCCGGCTTCCTCCCGGAACGAGGATCCGTCCGTGCCGTTTAGCGGCGGATCATAAACGGGACGATAAATCCTGAGGTGGCCGGTACTTAAATCTGTATCGTGCAAATAACATTACGTCCAAAGGCAACTGTTTTACAAGTTACTCGGTAATGACAGCCCTCGCGCGCTCGCGCGCGCGCGCGCGAGCGGCACCACCTAACAACGGCCGCTATAAAACTTGGCCGGCGTAATGCATACTTTCGAGCGGCCCGCTGCCTGCCTACTATTGCTCGCCTCACTCTTTAGCTCGCTTCGTATATATATCTCGCTCTGTCTCTCTGAACGGCCGCGGCTTATTACGGTAAAACAGTTAAACGCGAAAGTGTCCGTAATAATAGCGACTACCGTAATGACTACTGTTACCCGCTAGAGAGAATCGCTGTTATGTATATTACCATTATAATTCGCGGATTATTAAGTAGTGTGCAACGACTTGATAGCCGGCCTGTCGCGGGTCGAACCTCAAACATATCTCGAGACAAATTTCTCGCGGCAATAGAGAGTAGGCCACGCGTTTATCGTGAATTCTTTCGTCGCGTAGATTTCATCTCGCGAATAACTTTCCGTCGGATCTCGTATCTCTATCGTTATTCAAACGAAGGCGAGTTTTACGTGAAAATATAAAAAAACGTCAAAATACAACGAAATTGTATAAAAGACAGCAATTGTTTCTAACTGCACGCGATTCCGATCGTATTGAATTATTTTCCATGCGAAGTTCTCTTTGTCGGATTAATCATTTCACGATGTCGAGCGGGGTAAACTTTCCGCTTTGCTCGCAAAAAAAAAACGGGGGAAAAATATGGGAAAAAAAGGGACGAGAGCCGCGAATCCGCGAGACAAAGAGCGCGCGGTACGCGGAGTCATTCTATTTCCCGAGTTCGATGACGCACCCCCGGGTCTGGTGCCAGGCCCGGGAGCTCCACCGATGATCAAGGGTGATGCGGGAGAAAGAGGGACGAGGGTGGGCTCGGCGGGCGGTGGTGCGAAGCTTCGATTTCAAATTTCCTATTTCCCGACGAGTCGGCCTGTGTTGAAAACGTAGCGTGCAACGTAGCAACGCGCACGCGAGAGAGCAAGAGAGAATTGCATACACTCTCGACACAAACCCCGGGGCGGGGGAGGAGGGGGAGAAGAAAATGACGGTGGAACGCGGCGACGGCCGGGGGCGTCGGTGGCGGCGGCGGCGGCGGCGCCACGGCGGAACAGCGGCAACCCCGCTTTCGCCGAGTATTTTTTCGATGATTTTCGAGCCCGCGTATGTGTATCGTACGTGCACGCGTTCCTCCACGCACATACACGTATCACCCCCTTCGACTGGGTCGTCGATGGTTGGCGTTGTTGCGCCGGGGATGCCATCGGAGGAAGAGCGGTAACGACGCGCG